CGTTGAGGGGTTCCAGGAACTTCATCAGCTGATCGACTTTATCCCACTCAGCTGACGAGAGTGCAAATTTTGTTGTGTCGGAGCGCTGGCAGAATGAGTTGTAGATGTCTTTGAGTTCCAAAGCACGCTTAAGCATATCATAGGTCGAGTTCCATCGTGTCTTGACGTCAACTATAAGAAATTTCTCTTCTTTTTCGGTATCTATTTTTGGATCTTTGGTTTGCTGGGAGGTATCGACATGTCGATCTTTCTTTCGATGTGATGTCTCAGCGTTTCGATCTTTCACTATTTTTGTTTCATCCTTCCATTGGTTTCGACGTTGTGGTGTAGCTCGGGTAAAGATTGTAAGGCCGTGGATTCGTGAAACTACAGTCTGCAGGGCAACGTTAATCCCATCGGGTGGTGAGGTGAGATGACTTATCCTCATCGGATTTGAATTGCTTTCCATCTGATCAAGAGTGACTTCAGACTCGAGCTCTTCAGGACAAAATCCAAAGGCTTGCAGGCCATCTTTTGCAGCAAGATTAATAACATGAGCCATGCATCCCAGCAGATGCTCATCTGCAAAGAACTGGTCGTTCAACACGCTTTCGACTCTTGCTGCTAGGGTGGAATTATTGCTTGCGTTGTCGGCAGTAATGCATACTAGCTTACTGGCAATCTCGTACCGATCAAGGATGTCAATAAAGACTTCGGCAAAGTTGTATCCCGTGTGAGCACCTGTACAACCGTCAAACATTTTTTGAATCAATTGATTAGATTTATAAACTGTGAAATGAGACTCAAACATCATTAAATATGAACTCACCATGAACCTCAGGCATGGCAACAACAACATCGATCAGTTCCCAATTCTTTGTAATTGCATGAGCTGTGACCCCCAAGAATGCAACCACATTGGGAGAAGTCCAAGCGTCAAGAGTGAAGCTGATATGATCGACGGTTTCGAATAGATTTTCTAGATTCAGGGTGTGAGACTTGTGCAAATAGTGCACTTCCCTTGCGATTGTCTTCCTCGAAAACAGCATTTTCCCGTTCCGAACCGATGGATTCAAAAGCAACATCACATCCCGGAATGATTGTTGTTCAACAAATGAAAACGGTAGGTCGGCATCAGCAATAAGATAAGCAATTGCTTTCTTCAACGAATTCGATGTGAGCTCTGTGTCAAAATTCTAGAAAATAACAAGCACCATGATTATTTAATGTACTGATTTAGAAATATTTTTGAGTTATCATAGCTTACCTTTTCCATCTTTTGTTTTTTAATCATGACTGAGATGTCTTGTAATCCAGATTCAACTTTGGCCGGATCTTGTATGCCATGTTTTCGGAATAGATGTTCGCCCATTGACTTTGTACTTGAGCTTTTGTCTCGAGATAGAGTTACATTGCAAGGCGTGCCGTCTTCTTTCATTACCACCGTACATCGCACCTTATTTATTCGAGGTTCATCAATAAAATGTTTCCAAACAAAAGATTTTCGGCCGGGTTGAGAAACTTGAGGGGGCTGAGATTCCTCAGTCTGAGAAGCTGGCGGGTTAGTGTTTGCTGGGGGGTGCCGTTTTTTTGTCATTGTGAAGCTCCTGGACTTATTCGAGTTGTTGAAGTGAGAAAATAGAGGCGCAACTCGTAAGAATGGAATTTATCTCCCACAGAGCCATCTTGCAGCTAAGTGGTCCGGTCCCCGTCGGGGGGATTGGATACCCGGCGGATACCGCTCGGGACCAGGAATGTTGATACCCGACATCGGGTATACCCGCAGGGTATCAGCGCGGGAAGCTCCAGAGGCCTCGGGTATCACCCGGGGCCCACCCTTAGTAATAGCAAAAGTGAACCACAAGACTCACAAGAGTAGCAAGAAATATCCAATTCTTGAAAGATATTGACCAAAATGAATCAATAAGACAACACAAAATGCCTGGGTGATATTCCAAAAAGAAAGAAACACAGGGATATGTTGAAAACTATAGCAAAAAAAAAACTTGAAAGACAACTCAAAAAAAACAAAATATCTCAAAATATCTCAAAAAAAAACTAAAAAACAAAGCTAAAAAAAAACTCAAAAAAAAAAGAAACCCCAAACACCCAAAGACTCAGTCAGTGTGGTGAACCTTGCATTAGTTCAGAATGTTCAAGGCTGGGGTAATTATTTTGGTTGACACCAAATCAATCTCCTGATTGAACTGACCCAGTGTAGTTTTTTGAATTTCTAGCTCCTTCATATTGGTGTGTAATTTCCACAGAAGTGGAACTGGATGGACTCATGAGTGATAGTAGAAACTCATGATACTAGAGTCCAAAAATTTTCCAAAACAATCACCAAATGAACATTTCATACTCAACAGCAAATTCAGTTATTCAGTTTCCTCTCAGCTTCACAGCTCAATTTTGTTGGGCTCAACTTGGTTGAAGTTGTTTCATTGCTGTCCCAGCCAACTGGTGTATTTAATCAATTATTATGTCATGTGGTTTGATTAAGTCAAAAATGACACTGGCTGGCTGCTCTTGTTGCAGATAACTGGTCCAGTTGCAGGAACAGAACCAACAATCTTGAAAGGATGTCATGGGGTTTGTTTAGTTTTATGGCATAATACCATTAGATCATAGATTGGAAAGTGTGTTGTTCAGGTTAATTGATAAATTATTTTGATTGAAGAGCTCAAACTGACCTGGATAATAGAATATTTGAAGTCAATGCTTACCATGCATTTAATAGCACAGGATGAGCAACAAGAGGATGATCTTGAGTGATGCTAGACAAGAATTGGTACAAAATTGTTTTCTGAGAATTTGATGGTTGAGAATTTGATTGTGTGTATATCATAGATTGTGATGGTAAGCTGTAAGGAGAGGGATGGAGCCATCATTGACAATACTGTGCCAATTCAAAATCAAGGGTTTTATCCATGGAAATAAGAGGAAAGAAGGACAAGCAACATTGTTTCAAGGGAATGGGAAAGAACATCAACAAGAATTGGGAGGGATGATCTGGCGGAAAATTGGATATGAATAGACAGGGTCAAGTGTCTCAGGCTCTAAGAGCAACTCCAGCGGTCCGGGGGGCAACTCGCATGAGTTCCGCAGGCCGTGACCTCATGTCACAGAGGTCGCGGGTCAGTTCCAGTAATGGACTGGCAGTCCTCCACCCTCGGACCAACCAACCAACCTCCCCAACACGATCGACCACAAACCACCTCCCCAAAACGATCGGCCAACATTCCACTCCACAGCGATGGAGGATCTCCTCCAATGGATGGACGACAACGACGACATCCTTTCGTCCCTCCAAACAACACTTTCACTTATATTGAAGACCAAAGAAAAGAAGAAACGCGGGGGGTCAACACCTGGACGAAGAGAAATCAACCGCAATCGACTTGAAGGACACCAACGTCTTTACGAGGACTATTTCTCCGAGGATGCCATTTATCCCGACTATCTTTTCCGCCGCCGATTCCGAATGCGCAGGAGTCTATTCCTTCGAATCGTCGAAGATATCCAAGAAGCCGACCGTTACTTTGTCCAGAAGCGCGATGCAGCTGGACGATTGGGATTCTCGGCTCTACAAAAAGCAACAGCTGCGATACGAATGCTCGCTTATGGATGTAGTGGAGACTCTGTGGATGAGTACCTCCGTATTAGTGAGTTTCAATCTACATTTTTTCAATATGATGATAAGAAATTAGATTCTGAAGAACTTTCATTCACAGGTGAATCAACCGCAATCGAGAGTTTGAAGAGGTTTTGCCGAGCAATCAATAAAGTCTACCGCGATGAATATTTTAGAAAACCGAATGAAAACGATACTGCTAGACTCCTTGCCGTGGCCAATAAGCGAGGTTTCCCTGGTATGATGGGGTCTCTTGACTGCATGCACTGGTGCTGGAAAAATTGCCCGGTTGCTGATCATGGGCAATATACCGGCAAGGAAAAAGAGCCTACCGTGGTCCTCGAAGCTGTGGCGTCATACGACTTATGGATTTGGCATGCCTTCTTTGGACTGCCCGGCACACTGAACGACATAAACATCCTCGACCGATCACCCATCTTTGAACAGCTTCAAGAAGGCGAAGGTGTTGCTGTCTCATACAAAGTAAATGGAACTCAATACAATGCCGGCTACTACCTCACCGATGGAATATACCCGCCATACTCTACCCTAGTCCAGTCAATCTCCGAACCCCAAGGCAAAAAAAAAACATTATGCAAAAATGCAGGAGGCATACCGAAAAGATGTCGAACGTGCTTTTGGGGTCCTGCAAGCTCGCTACGCCATTGTACGCTACCCGGGTCGTTTTTGGAAACATGACGACCTTAACGAGATCATGTCAGCTGTGATCATACTTCACAACATGACAATTGAAGACGAAGCAGGAACCGATTTTGAAGAAGATTTCAACTACCATCAAAATCAACGCACACAGGCGACAATCACTACAAACGGCCCAACCAACTCATCTTTTGAGCAGTTTATGCTCCGATACCAAGCAATCAGGGATAATGCATTACATGCACGTCTTCAGCAAGACCTCATCGATCATCTGTGGAACAAACATGGCTCAGAAGATCATGATTCCTCATCTGATGATGCCAATGATGCCTGATAAATTTGTTGTATTTCTGCCTAGTTTTTTTTATCTTATTGGTGGCTGTTTCTTTATTATCTTTCTCTTTTCACTGATTTTTTTTCTCCTTTTCACTCATGTTTCTCTCATTTCTCATGATTTGTGTTGTTTTTGGAATTATTTCATTTTTTTCTCTTTTGCAATCTCTAGCTCAAGTTTCTCTCATGTGTCTGGGCCATTGAAATTTTAGTTGTTATTTATAAAAAAAACTTGAAATTGAAATTGGTATTTATAAAAAAAACTTGAAATTGAACTTGTTTTAAAAAAAAAAACATGTAAGAGGACATTTCGATGATAACCAATAATCAAAAGTCTGAGAAGGAATAATAAAGAGGCATTCTTAAAAAACAGGGCAATAAAAAATCAAAAAATTCATTCATTTTCTTCAGTTTCTTCATCCCCTTCGGAATCTTCACCATCGTCGGATTCATATTCCAGCTCTTCTGCTTCCTTCTGCTTTCTTTTTTTTTCTGCCTCCTCTTGTCTTTCCTTTTCTTCTTTTTCTTGCCTCGCTTTTTTCTCATTTTCCTCCTTTTCCTTCTTCTCTTTCTCCTCCTTCTCCTTCTCTTCCTGTTCCTCCCGGGCAATAATTGCTCTTTTTTTCTTGAGGTAATACGCTCGACTTTCGTCATCCATCATGCTGAGATCTTGCGACATGATCGCGTTGTCCGAAGTTGATTGCATCGCCGCTTTCATCGAAGATAACCGATCACGCGATATCTGAACGAGTTCCTTTTGCATTCCCACTATCTTCTTGATAGAGCACTTGTCTGCTCGTTTCCTCTTCGCAGCTTTCTGCCCCTCAACGCGAACGTTCCCAAGGACCGATCGACTGATTTCAGAGTTGTCATTGTCCACATCGATGATCGCAGGGCTTGAAGCGGCAGGGGTGGAGGCTGGTCCATCGGAGGCCACGGAAGTCGTCCTAGATTGGTCGGCCTTCTTCCCTCGAGCTTCGTTCTCGGTCTGTGTTGCTTGCCATTTTGGGGAGTCCTTCAAGATGCCCCAGCAGTGATCGAGGCTGAAAGCAGACCCAAAGGAAGCCTTATATAGCTCCTTGGCCTCGGTAAGCTGAAAGAAAGAAAAATTGAGTCATTAGTTAGTTTGTTGTATAACCAGACAGGAGAAGATGAGATTACTCACAATATCATCGCGAGTCTTCCCACTTTTCAAACGACGTTCCGCATTCGAATAGCACCCGGAGAACTTATTGACACTCTTGAGGATGAGAGCCCATCGGCATTCGACTGCACCAACCGGTCGTAGAGGAAGTGGTTTGAAGTACTTCGCTGATTTTTTCTCGTCGTTGTACTCGCTGATGAGGTCGGAGAGCGTTGCATGGATCCTCTCCCAAAACGTTGATGCCTTCTGTCCAGTGCCGACGATGGCATCACGACTCGTGTTCAACCAGGCAACGCAGAGCTTTTTATCCTCCTCTATGGACCAGCGAGGATTCCCCTTCTTGGGCGCAGGATCATTGGCGGCTTTGGGGGTGGGATCGATGTCGATGATGCTTTTATCGGCCGGTTGGGGGGTTGCAATATCGGTTGGTTGTTTGATTTTTGGTGTATCGGTGGTTGTTTCTTTTGGGGGGGTTGATTTTTTTTTTCGATTTTTTTTCTTCTTTTTTTTCTTTGGAGAACTAGGCGTTGGGGTGGGGGTGTTTGTTGAAGATTTCGGGTCAGTGTCGGCCATCGTTGTGGGGTTCTTGGTGTTTTGTGTGGGTGGATGTAGGAATCGCGGCCGGGAGGTGACCCGCAGAAGTCAGAGGTCGATCGCGGGTTGGAGTGCCCCCGGGGATGTTCCCAGGGTCGTTCCGCGGGACCGTTGGAGGGCAAAATTGCCTTTCGGGCAGTCAAAGTTCGCCCCCGAACGCCGAGTCGCGGCTCCGTTGGAGTTGCTCTAAAAGCTTTGGCAGGGGTGTCATCATCAACTAGAAATGCTGAAGTTTTGGGTTGAAATGGTGGAGTTGAATTCACTTGGATGGGGGGAAATGGAAATCAAAAGATGAACAGAACACGAAATACACATAGCAAGGAATGGAAACAAAAATTATCTCTCTTTTACTGTCAGTCCAACATTTTTAAATCTCCTTCATAACATCATCGTAATGAGCGCTGGGCTGATGATTAAAAATTTAACGTGGCTGTGAATTCTTGACAGCCAAGCTTGGGGCTTCTTGCGCAGGCATACTACCATAGCAGTAGCATCCTCCATCACAAAGGTCCTTGGAGGCAAAGATATCTTGATTAAAAACAGGTACCTTTGTGCATACCTCTGGCGACGAGACTGGCGTTGATTTCCCTTTGAGAACATTCCTTGTGTATATCTACACATGTACGTATTTTCCCACCAAAAATTCCCCCTTGATGTGGACTTGACACTAAGCTTGAACCCAGTGGCCGACGTCATCTTCCCGAGTTTAGGGATGTGTGCTCTTGTGCACAACAACTACAAAGTTCGTGATCAAGTTGGCTGGAGAATTGCCGTATGAAGTCATATCCAGCCCCACCCGCTCGTTGGGAACAACGTCGGAAGGGTCTGATTCGACGTGATCGCCAGCCTGACAACGAAACCGAGATTGTGAAAATAAAGTCAAATGTGCTACATAGGAAGCCCGCCGCGCAGGTAGCGAACGCTCAACAACAGCCACATCGGCACACAAATAAGTTGTGAAGTATACGGACGCCCCCAAGAAGGAGTGTCAGGAAGGGAACGTTGGATGTGGTGTTACCATGTCAGGTATGTTGTAGCGGTTGCAAGAGTCCACGGACACCAGAACCTCTCGTGAAGAGCCGGAAGCATTACAATATCCAGCGTCACCATCGAGAATTCATAGCGACGGGCTTTTCGGTCACAAACTGAGGACTACAACGAATTCTTCTGTGCCCACAGGGCCCTTTCTTCGCCTTTGTCTCTGCATGGCCCTTGCGGCATAGAAATAGGTCGCAACCCTTGCCCCAGTGTTCCCCCGGCAAGGCTGCTTCATCCACAGGTTTCGGCCACTATTTCTCAGTCTCTTCAAGATTTGTTACATAGATAGATCGGAGCAGAGCTCACCTTCTTTTTACTTTCGCGTTTACACCCATTTTCTTAACATTAGCTACCAGATTATTCCCTTTGTCCATACCCACGTTCTTCAGCAGTAGTGTTCAAGTCATACCAAAAATCTTTCGCATTCCACTATGAAGAACCTATTCTTTCTTCTTTCATGTCTAGCCACATTTGATGCCCGAATAATTATAGATGAGTGAGTTGTGTACCCACTTCAACCCTTTCCTTTCACCTCACCACTGATTAGGCTTTCTGGCTTTCCTAGAACCGTATATGCCCCTGGTCGCTTAGCTCGTAGACGGTTGAACATGGAGCACCAATCGGCTGTAAATAAACTCTCCGGGTTAAAAGATTGTCCTGGAAGCGTGTGCGGCACTTTTGGTACGCAACAACTTCAGAATTCTCAGTGGCACAACGTATTGCCTCTGTTAACGTGCTAATCGTTCACTCGTTTTTTGATGTTACAGCTGGACAAGCCATCGCACCGTTATTGGCTGCCAGCGATCAATGCGCCCAGCAGGACATGGCCGATAAAATCATCGATGCTGCAAAAGTTAGTGCTTGCAAACGTCAATCTGTGCGACTGAGTTGCTGATTGGCTATGTCCACTCTTCCAGGACCCTTCCAGCGGTGTCACGTCAAAAGAGACTCGTGAAGAGATGATCAAAATAGCCATTGAATATCGTCAGGTAAGATAACCCATTAGCATCCGAGTAGCAATGGCCAAGTCAGCTAACCAAGTCCCATAACCCTTCCATCACTGACGGCGAAAGGCTGAGAAAAATACACATCCGATCTACCCTCAATTGATCCCACGCAATTCGGTATATTGCCAGAAAGCTCCCAAGAATAGTGAGCTGAAAGGATTGGTTCAAAAGCAAGATCCGGCCAACGGCCCGCTGCTATTCTTCGATCACTTGGTCACCACCAATGGAAGCACCGTCCTTTTAGATAGCCAGCCCAACACTCGACCGTTTGGTGGTGCGTTCACTGTTTCTTTTGAACCTCTCCTACACAAGAGGCAGCTTGGTTGATGAACTAAAATCTTGTAACATGTTATAGAAAAACCCGGAACCAAACCTGGACTTGGCGCCAGTGGCAGTGGCGCATCCCCAACCGACCCGAAAACCACCTCCTCGACTGAGGCCGATCCGTCCGGGAACGCCAAGCAGTCTGACACTGGGTCTGGAGGCAGTACCAATACTACACCCAGCCTGAAAACTACCTCCGGCGATGCCAGTCCTCAGAAATCCGAAACTGATACCGGCTCGTCCACCAATCCCAAAAGCACCGCTGGTGATGCCAATTCGCAGAAATCTGAAACTGATACCGGCTCGTCCACCAATCCCAAAAGCACCGCCGGCGATGTCAGTCCTCAGAAATCCGAAACTGATACCGGCTCGTCCACCAATCCCAAAAGCACCGCCGGTGATGCCAATCCGCAGAAATCTGAAACTGATACCGGCTCGTCCACCAACCCCAAAAGCACCGCCGGTGATGCCGATCCGCAGAAATCTGAAACTGATACTGGCTCGTCCACCAACCCCAAAAGCACCTCCGGTGATGCTGATCCTAAAAAATCGACCACAGCTAATGGCTCGTCTTCCGAGGAAAACGAAGAGGATGACTCTTGCGGCGGATCAGGTGATGACCAGAGTGACAACAAGCAAGAGGATAAGTCCTCATCTAACAACCTCAAAGATACCACTTCGGGGGCTGGCGGTAGCAATGGAGGCAATGGAGGAGAAGCCACCGAAAACGGCAACAAGCAAGATTCAACGTCCCCGACCTTGAAAGATGCAACCGCGACCGCTGACGACAACAACGGTGACACTGGCAGTCAAAACACTGAAAAGACCGATTCCACATCCACAGGAACTAAAACCACAGGAAATGACAACTCCAATGTGAGCGACGCCACTGGAAAAGGCACCGGGGGTTCAACGACGTCTTCATCTAGCAACCTCAAAGATACCACTTCCGGGGCTGACGGTAGCAATGGAGGCAACGGAGGAGACTCCGGCAACAGGCAAGATTCCGCGTCCCCGAGCTTGAAAGATGCAACCACGACCGCTGGCGACAACAACGGTGACACTGGCAGTCAAAACACTGAAAAGACCGATTCCACATCCACAGGAACTAAAACCACAGGAACTAAAACCACAGGAAATGTCAACTCCAATGAGAGCGACGCCACTGGAAAAGGCACCGAGAGTTCAACGACGAAATCTCTAACAACGAGCGGCGGTGAGGACGGAGGGGGCGGAGGCGGTAATACTGGAAATGGTGAAAAGCAAGATTCAACAACGCCGAGCTTGAAAGATACAACCACGAGCGCTACCGACAACAATGGCGGAACCGGCGGCGAAAACACCGCAAAGACCGATTCAACATCAAATAAAACCACGGACACCGGTAACGGAAGCGGTGATAGTGGCGACAAGAAAGGGGGCACGTCGTCAAATGGTAGCACCGGCTTGAAAGACACCAGCTCGCAACCTGATAACAAGCCTGAGGATGATACAGGTGACAGTGGTTGTGGGGGCGAAGACGACGATGAAACTGACACATCGACTACCAAATCGTCCAGCACCTCAAGTGCAAACACCGACGCAAACCCTCAAGGTTCTAAGACGACCTCCAGCAGTCTCACTACATCATCGACTGGAGACCAAACTCCAAGCTCGCCTGGTAGTGACCCCAAATTGAAAGACGCCGGCAGTTCAACATCTGGCAACCCAACACCCGACACCGGAACGTCAGCAGATGCCCAACAAGTTGTTATAGCAATCTTGGGTCATCAACTTGACGTGACCAAAATCCCCAACAAAGATTGTCATGGTTTGTTGACACTTATCTTGACAATTTTGGCTTTGAGTAGAGCACTGACACTGGGATATCTTCTTTGAATAGATTACAGAATTGAATTTGGTTCGGGATTCAAAGGTCGCGAAGCAAAAGATGTAGCTTACCAGCCACTTCAACCAATCTTCGAACATGGCGCTGCATTAAGTGAGCGAATCAATCGCATCTGTCATCCTACTCTAACTAACCAACTGATACACTTTACCCTCCAGACATGGCGATCATCACAAGATGTATGTTACCAATTTCCTTGACCTCCCACAACCCTGCCGCCCAGTGACTCACTATCCTTTCATTCACAGCCATGTGCGACAGCCTCCACAACAAATGCGGTGTGTCACAGTCATCTCCGGAGGAAAGCCTTTTCAAGGATTGCATCCTGTTTTCCGACGGCATAAAAAGAGTTGTCAACAATGGCACAATGGCTGATGCATGGAATTTCCTAGTAAGTCGCTTGCATCAGTTGAACGCATCAGGAAAATCAACATGAGCTAATGTCTCTTTGCTTGCCAGTGGGGCTTCCATACCAACTACGCAGCCCAAAAGGCCACCGGTGAAGGCACAGGAGGAAAGGGCGACGGGAAGCCTCAGACTGAGAAATCCGGCAGCAGCACTTCCTCCTCCTCCCCCACTCCTCCTTCTGCCACGCAGCCACCAAACGACAATTCTAATAAGGGAGCTGGCGGCGCGACTCAGAATGGAAACACGAACCAGATGGGAATGGATCAAAACGGAAATATGCAGCAAAACATGAACCAGAATCAGCCTCAGAGCACGGATCCGAACATGAGCCAACAAAACATGAACCAGAATCAGCCTCAAAGCACGGATCCAAACATGAGCATGAACCAGCAAGGCATGAACCAGAACATGAACCCAGCACCCGCAGCCGACACCGGACCTCCAGTCGATCCCAAAGCTATTGTTGATAAACTCTTGGGTCGTCAAATTGATGTGACCAAAATCCCCAACAAAGATTGTCACGGTTTGTCGACACTTATCTTGACAATTTCGGCTTTGAGTAGAGCACTGACATTGGGATATCTTCTTTGAATAGATTACCGAATCGAATTTGGTTCGGGATTCAAAGGTCGCGAAGCAAAAGATGTAGCTTACCAGCCACTTCAACCAATCTTCGGCCATGGCGCTGCATTAAGTGAGTGAAGCAATCACATCTTCTGTTGTCCTACTCTAACTAACCAACTGTTATGCTTGTCCCTCCAGACATGGCAATCATCACAAGGTGTATGTTACCAATTACTTTGACCTCCCATAACTCTGCCGCCCAGTAACTCACTCTCCTTTCATTTACAGCTATGTGCGACAGCCTCCACAACAAATGCGGCGTGTCACAAACATCTCCAGAGGAAAGCCTTTTCAAAGATTGCATCACGTTTTCCGACCGCATGGGCAAAGTCGTCAACAATGGCTCAATGGCTGATGGATGGAATTTGCTAGTAAGTCACTTGAAAGCAATCAAAAAAGAAGCATGATCTAATATCTCTTTCCATGTCAGTGGGGCTTCCATACCAGCTACGCAACCCAAAAGGCCGCCGGTGAAGGTACAGGAGGAAAGGGCGACGGGAAGCCTCAGATTGAGAAATCAGACAGCAACACGTCCTCCTCTCCCACTCCTCCTTCTGCCACGCAGCCACCGAACGACAATTCTAATAAGGGAGCAGGTGGCGGGACTCAGAACGGAAACACAAATCAGATGGGAATGGATCAGAATGGAAACATGCAGCAAAACATGAACCAGAACCAGCCTCAAAGTACGGATCCGAACATGAGCCAACAAAACATGAACCAGAACATGAACCAGCAGGGCATGAACCAGGACATGAACCAGCAGGGCATGAACCAGAACATGAATCAGAACCCTGGTGGGGACCAGAAGCAGGGAGGCAAGTAAAATCTGGAAGTCCTGAGTCCAACGTTCCATGTGATGAGACTCCGCACTTATTTCCATCACGATCTAGTACATGAATCTCAGCTGATTGGGCGCCTGCTATCAATCTAAACCCCCCTTTTGCAATTGCCTCTTGAAGAAGCGTGTGTTGGTAGAACTTGTAAATAGTAGCTGTAGCCCGCTTTTCTCCCTAATTTCATCTGTATCTCCTCTCTTTCCTTTCTCTCTCTTGCTGAAACTGGCCAACTGTCATGAATTTTCATCTTATCATCTCTGTCGGGCTTTGAGCCATATTGCTAATAGTACACAACCACTTGCTGGTTCCTGTCAAAGAGCGTTCTTCTCTTAATTTGCTTGTTTTTAATCAAATTCCTGACACCACAAATGGCAAAAGACCTTGTGCCACTGTGACTGAAGCTCCTTTCATTGAGTAACAGGATAGAAAGTCTTGCAGCATCCGTTTGACTATGTATGTGTCGCCTCTGTTCTCAATCTTCTAAAAACAATCACAGCCATCATGAATCTCGTAGTAATTTTGATTGCAAAAGAAAGAAAGAAATGAAACAAATAGACACCTGAAGAATAAAAAGTCTGTGTGTGTGTAGTAGCGATTGAAAGGACTGACGAGATATCAGCTTGTATAGCTTGAGTTGGGAACCCAGCGAGCATGGCATTGGTAATGAAGAAACAACTTTGCAAGCCTTGGACAATTGCAACAGCGGAATAATAGAACCCAGGAGTATAATGATAAAGGGAAAAAAAAAAACTTGAAATACAATTATGTAGATGGCTTTTTGTGATGTGAGGTAAGTGCGTTATAATCAGAGAGAGAGAGAGAGAGAGCATACACATCAAAAGAACCCAATTGCCTATACGAGAGAAAAAACAAAGAAGAAGAAAGACATACATTATATATTTAAAGAGAAGCATAGGGGGGATTTTAAAGACGAAGAACGATGTTATTGCGGGAAGGTGAAGAGCTTGAGAAATATTTGACAGACGAAAGAAGCGAAAGCTGAGGAAAGAATTTAAAAAAGAGGAGTGATTGAGACGAAGAGCGGATAGCGATGGGAAGTTATTTATGCGAATTTGGCGAGATTTTCGCATTTGAGATCATGCCCCAGAGGGCCAGCCGTTCGTCTTCGCCATGCAGCGGTGTAGGCCTTGAGATTCGTTTAAGTTTGCCTTTGATCAGTCGAGCCTGCTGTTCCTGAGCTTGGTTGAGGGCGCTACAGTCCTCAGAAGAGTGGACGTTGTGGTTGCGGATGGTGGTCAAGTCGAGCAGCTTGGCGTCCCGGGCTTGCATGCGCGTGAGAGACAGGAACAGTCTGCTCTTCCGAGACGGCGGGGTAAGCTTTGCTTCGGTCAGTCCAGGGAACTCCTTGGCTTGATAGGGGCTGCCGGGTTCTGGACTGGGGCCAGCTATCAGCGGCTGCTGGCTCGGGACCTGTGGGCCCGTGATGATCAGCGTATCGGGCGTCTTTGGGCCCGAAGAAACCGACGAATGGGAGTGCTTCCGTTCGGCTAGCTTTGCAGCGGAGTAGGAGGCCGCAGAGATCCCCCTGTCCATGCTTCGTGGAGAGGGCTTCGGCATGCATAGGTTCGAGATACACCGCTTGCGGTAGCTGATCGGATGGTCGCTCCTGAACGTCGGCGAACTGTCGAGTTTCGCTGGCGAGTTGACGAGGGTAATGTCTTCACATGTGCCTGTCTGGACGGAATGGTGTGAAGTCACCCGCCTCCGACCAGACGTTAGCATTTGGGTGTTGATAGGGTTGAGACTCTTCAGAGAATTCTTCCGGGCAAATGAGTCTTCTGCAGCCTCTGCATCAGGCAGACTCTTGTGGAGTTCGGATGGGATTGGTGCACTGTCTTCGATATTCAGCGTTACCATAGATTCTTTGTTCATCGTGTTGGAAGATGGTTGTTTCTGGACCATCAGGCTGAGTTTACTGCCCATCTCAACCTGGTTCAATAGTTTGATTTCTGGACTCGCCGCTGGGTCACCAGCTTCTCTGGAAATTGGAGTCATGAGCTCGACCCTTTTCTGAGACGCGTTGGTGGATTGTTTATGATCATTCAAATCCACATCAGTAGATGCACTCTGAATCTCTATCCGCCGTGGAAGAGACAGCCCTTGGGGCTCCGTGACAGTCTGCTTGTCTGTTAGGACGTCTGAATCCTTCAAGGTGACATCATCGCTCTATGGGATATGAGACAGAGAGAGAGAGAGAGAATCAATTATTCGATTCATCAAGAAGATCTGGCGACAATGTTGCCTTACACTTTTCTGACTAGAGCCCCAAGGATCGCCATGTGCAGTCAGCAATGAATTGGCCTCATAGGTGGGCTGAGGTGGACTGAAAGATCCTGAAGATTGTGAATTTCTTCCTGGGGGATCTAGTAGAGAGGTTCGGGTTCTAGCGCTGCTGGTGTTGGAGGTAGTACTTCTCAGGATGAGGGGCTTGAGACGCCGTCGGTTACCACCGTCCATGCTTGTGGGAGAGCGGGTCATTCTAAAGCCATAAGGCTCGGCGGATTCCAAGTCAGGCGCTTCCGGGATCGCGGCCAGTTCTTCGTCATCGAGCCGCCGAAGTCTTGAAGCCGGCCTCTCCTCCTCTCTATCCTCACGGGAAAAGCTGGTGCGTGTGAAGAGTGGGACGCCAGCTGAAGAGGCCCGATCCATGCTCATACTTGAGCGAGATAGATTAGGGTCAAGGTCGTGGAGTGACCTTGATGATGATGATGTAGTCTTCGAGCTGCTGGAGGAATCTCGATTTGAAGAAATGAGAGTGTGTTCGGTGGATTGAGGTGATGTGCACCGGTGTAGCTGTTTGCTCGGAGAGTAACTTGAGCGTGGGCCTGAAAACGGGTGAATTGAGATGGCCGAGTCCTGGGATTTCCCGTTCTCAGACCTTGCGTGGTATCGAGATTTGGCCTTGGCAGCATGGCTGACTGCATCAATACCATTCATCAAGGATAACCTCTGGCTGATTTTCCTGACCGTATCCTCGGTTTTTTCAAGATCTAAAAAATCAAGACATTTTTTTAAAGAAAAAAAATAACAGTATCTTTAGAAATTTGTGGTTTGCATTTGAAAGGTTTGTGGGTGGATAAGACTGACCATCATATGCATCCCCACTGTCAATTTCCATCCATTCTGCCTTGTCAGGGGCATCTTCGTAAAACGTTTCTCTGCTGGCAGTGCTTCGGTGGCTAATCAAGCTTGCTGGACGAATCCGAGTTCTAGTGGGATCAAAACCGACCAAGGTGGTGCCTTTGTTTGGAATAAATGAAACATCATCAGACGCTGAGGGGCTGCTAAATAAAGGGAGGCAGTAGGATGATTGCGTTAATTCAATATTTTCGAAAAAAAAAAGAAAAAAAATATGAGACTCAGAGATGAAATGAGGCAAGTCTCACCTACTGGTCTCCAAGCTGGGGTTTGGAAGAATGATTGTGGAATGGTCCGTTCCAAGAGGCATTGGAGAAGGAGAGAGATCAAGGTAGGCAAGAGCTGAAGAGGGACTGCGTGCGGAGGCAAGGATGGATGGGTGTGGCCTTGGGGCGTTTGACCAAGTGCGCAGCGGATAATAGGTGGCCGATTTTTTTGGCCAGCCGGATGGAGAGGAGGCGTGAGTGTGTGCGGATGAGGGGGGCACAGGCCACGGACTGTTCAATCCTGGAGAGACCAGTTGAAGGTTGTGATCAATGGAGTTGCGTGAAAGGGAGGAGCGGGAACTTGAGCCCGTGGGAGGCCTTAGGTCCGTGGAGACTGACGAAACGGACTGGGCGAGCTGCTGTTGAGAATGGCTGGATGAGAGATTGGGACGGCGTTGAGCTAAGTATGAGATTGGAGAGCTGATGGCTGAATCTGCGTCAGATGTCGGACTTTTCTTGCAGTAATTTTGAGGTGAGATCGAGTAGAGTGAAGGTCTTATGTCGGAAGCTGGAGTAGAGAGTGAGGAATGGTTGGAGCGGTAGGACCGTGAGTTAGATGGACTGGAGCCACTCAAAGAAGGCGTAGGATCAATCAAAGGATTGCTCTCGTGTTCACTGTAGCTAAGTTTAGACCTTAGGCCTCTGGGAGAATGGCCAATTGTTTTCGAGTCGAGGTCACGATCGGGTGTGGCGAATTTGACGGTAGCAGTACTGTAGCCTCTCTTAGGGTTCCCTGGGAAGGCTAGCCGTTGCGAAGTTGGTGATTGGCAGACTGCAAAAGGCGGGTCGATTGAGCTAGGGGAGTGAGACAGGAGAATTGAAGAGTGATTCGAGTCGACGCTAAATTGTCTTGGTGGATTAGTCTTGGTGCGTCTTGAGATGATAGACTGTGCTAGATTTCTTGAGGAGGTGTTTACTGAGAGTGTTCCTGCTGGCTTTGGGGTAGAATATAAGACGGTAGCTGTAGGGTCATCCTTGATTGCAGGGGTCTCTATGATATTGGGGTACAAGTCTTCGGCAATGCTCTCAAAGTTACTGGGAGCGGTATCAGTAGTGTTGGTTGTTGCTCCACCACCGAGTTGCGGGTAGACTGCTGCACTTTGGGAGTGGTGCTCGCCACGCTGGCTCTCTAGTATTATATTAGGATTGTCGATTCGGTGTTTAGCCAACAATCCACTAAAATTCAAATGTCGCGGCTGTTTGTTTCGATATGCCATCTCTCACGTATGACAGAAATTTAGGAGGTGTTAGAGCACGTGTGAAACGCCTGAGCACATATAGATATTGGGTACGAGTTCTTGAGGTGTCTCCTGTAAGTGCGATGGATAATCACGGATGTCTGAGTTTTGGCAATGGGTGAAACAGTGCTAGACAGAAGATGACAAAGAGGTTTGGTCAGGAGAGCTGTCGGAACGACAACTGTGATTAGTTTGTCCGGCGCCAGTCAATGATTTATGTAGTGTGCTCTTGGCTAAAGAGGAACCAGAAGTGTGCTCACTGCGAGACAATCCGGAGATAGCTTGCAACAGGTGAAGAAGCCGAGGTCCACGGGTGGAGAAAGGGAAATGGATTGATGAGGATTAATGGGATGTGGGTTAATTGAGGCGAAGGAGTTTAACTTTCGGTGGGTGTGACTGAGAAAGCGCCCGTAGGTAATGACAGTGTTACAAGGCCGACAAAATTATT